ACGCATGCAGGTAATCAGAGTAGCTAATCCCAAATTTATACAATAGATTGGAGAATGTTTGAACATCTTTGAACTCATGTTGATCTTGCGTGATGATCTTTTTAACAAAGTATGTGGTGGGCTTTTTTCCGCCTTGTTTCGTGGGTTTAATCTTGATGAATGCTCTTATAAAAACGATTTTTTCAGAGTTTTCTGTTAAATGTATACAAAATAAAATACCTATTTCTACCTTTTCTAGTTCTTTTGCTGCCATATTGAGTTGTTCGGTGTCAAAGCCGCCATGATGATGGAGAAGGTAGTTCCATGCAATACGGTCTCCTGGTGCCAATAAGAGCTTTTCGTATGGCGATATTTTAGATTTTTTCTCCTTTTGACTCTTCCGTTGTTCTATTTGACCGTCTAACGCAGATTGTTGCTCCAGTTTTTGATCCTCTTCAGCAAAACGTTGTTTTAACTGATCAATATCTTCGTCAGTCTTTCTTTCAGCCATACATTTTTTTTGATGAATAAAGTAGTCCATCATACGACATGCTTTTAAGCTGGTTTCCTAAATAACGAATGACAAATTGTAGTAAACGTCACACTAACATAAAAACAAAACAACTACATGTGTAGGTAGCATGCAGGTATTAGTGGCTTCAATACAATAAGCCGTGAAAGGATATACTTACTTCATCGATGAGGTTAAAATCTGATTCGATTATTTTGTACTCCACAGCTTTTTTTTAAATTAAATCTTGGATATCTTTGTCGAAATGGTAATAACCACGTACTCCGCTCATTTTCAAAATGTTGCTGGCTTGTTTGGCAGTATGCAATGCTGCTGCAATTCGATTGACTTGCACCTTTAATTTTGAATGAACGCTGGCCAAACCGTCGTATTCAAGGCATTCTCGTTGCATGATAGAGTAAAAATTCAATTTAGAATTCATAACGAGTTTCGCTTTGTCATCAAATGCGTACATAATGCGAGTTAACATCGTTTTTTTTGCTGATTTTGCTGTAACCGAAGCGGCAGGTACTGTAATGTCGTTCATACATGCAATTACAAAAAGCAGATGCGACAAACTTGGATAATCTTCATTTATGGGCTGATCTCCTCGGCGAGAGGATTGTATGGCTGTGGCGCGACAGCAACGAACCTTCCAAACAGGCCATCACCTTCCGCGTCATTAGCAATAGCATCTATGACCTCTCCAGGATGCCCTGCTCCAAGGATGTTAAGCACTGGAAATTCGATGCTGACTGGCGACTTATACGTATGCCGAGACAGAAGTTTATTGGTATTGTGAAGAGTATTCAAAAAACTTCTGTCGTAGGCACCTTTATCCCCCTTATACAATCCAAAGCTCTGAATCGAGCTATTGAGTTCATCCTAACACTGAATCAACTGTGGTTTCTCGTTTAGTTCCATTAACAGACTCTCGATCGTGGCGCTATTATTGAGCCGTGACTCACTAACCGGTATGCCTGTAGCGTTTTCCATATCCAAGCAGGCATCTTTGATTAAATCTACTGCCATTGATTTATTGGTTCCTGGGTACCCCAAAATGTAACGATAAAATGCTATATTTGACGGAAGTCCAGCGTTACTCATTACCTGGCTAGACGAACAATGATGCCCTATTGCTAGTAGTAGCAGGGTATACAAAAACGGTTCTGGAAGTTGGTAAGATCCGCATATGTTCTGGATAATACTAGCAGTACCCTTGTCAAAAAATGAATTTGACATGTGGGTGGTTCACTTTCTCATTATTTGTCTTGTTCTCCACCCTTTAACTTCAGTTTTGGAAAAGACCGACATATTGTGTGTTACTTTTTAAATTAATACAATGTTAGAATAATATTAGCTAATGGATAATATGTAATAAAGTCGTGGAACGAACAAGTGAGCAAGCGCCGAGCGTATGTATGAACAAGTGAGCGACTGTGGATTTTGACGAGCACGGAAAAATGATTATTATATATAAAGTATTTAAACGTATCTCCTAGTTAATACGGATAAAAACGGAATGAAAACGACGACTTTACTAAAGAAAACATGAGTACTGCCTCGACTTCAATATATCATCCTCTGCCAACAATCGAAGCAGCAAGCACTTTACTTCGCCCAAATCAGAAAATAAGTGCCCACGCATCTAATCGTAATGAGCATATGTCAGCCTTAATGACGCGTCTGTATAATATGACACTTAGTGGAAAAGATACCAGTAATGTACTTTCAAACTGGAAGGTCTTTCTTTCGTTGCACAAAGACAGCATAATAGGAAAGAATGAGGAAGAAATTGACAGTGTCATTGGTAATTACTGTATTGAGACACCAAGGAGGCATATTGCATCGTTAAAGAAAGTATTCATACCTGTGGAAACCCATTGTGTTTTACCCAACTGTAAGAAGTCTGCATTGTGCGACGCAAAACCATACCGCGACATTACTGTGTTTTATGTCAATAAAGCTACAGAGGCAGCTACACTCTATGGAAAACAATGCCCTACGTGTCAAATGAAATATTAATATAACTATACATCACTTGATGGTGAGAAAATATGCTCTGTTAAAAGTGAGACTGAAATTGTCATTTGGTTTTCGAACTATGGCTATGAGAAAACTATTTTGTATCAACTGGATTATGATATGTTCCACAAACACTCAGGTTTCTCGAATTTTTGTCATGCTTATAATTCATGTTGTGAAAAGCGAATATCAAAAATAAGTGTGAGATGAACCGTTTTCATATTGAGAAAACCTGGTTCCTGTGGCGTCTGTCTATTTTTTACGCGATATTAATGTAAATTTGATCATACCAACAGGAAGCGATTTCCACGGAATGTTTCTTCGGATAAGAAATCGATGTTTGCAATTGTTTACTGAACGGTGGGGGTCAATTGCACATGCCCGATATTGTACGCAACAATGTTCTCAATTGCTTGTATTAGATGGACATCAAAAGGCTAATCGTAGAGTGTGCTCTGTTACAGATCTTGTGATACCGAGTGACGAATTAGGGCATATAAACCCATGTATAAACATAAAAACTGTTTCGATCATAGTGATATGCAGCAAGCTTTAGAATACCGAAAATTAAAAAGCCACCGAGATTATATAATCTTCGAAAGCGAAACACAAAATATCGAAACGAAAAGGTTTTGACCTGTCGTACGCTGAAATCAAAAAATCAGAAGTGTTTTTTACACCGCACAGCCGGTATTTTGGCAGCGGCATATAACTGCGGCTATATATGTGGATTAGGCGAATTGTTCGGTTCTGAGTCTATTCGGTCGGCAAGTGTACATGTTTCTAGTTAATCTTGTTACTAACTTACAACATCTACCCAGAGTTCTAGCCTATGATGATGTCTGGCATCTAAAATTATTCATAAGGAATAGAAAAATTTTGTAGCTAATACGATGGCCAGACGACGGATAAATGCATTAGAAGTAGTATGTGATAAAATGCATTTTAAAAATCATGTCGATCCATGGTGCCGCAAATACTGTAATCCCTATAAAACGCAAGTGTCTAAAGAAGTCAATACTGAAGTGTGTGAACAAGTCTTTAGTTGGCTTGCGCAATACAGAAACATCGTACGTGGTTTCAACGAATCAACTTTCATGATTTTCATAATTCTTATATGCGATTTCCGCAACCAAGAAAGACCGGGCTATGCTATGAAACATAAGTCACCGTGAGCTATAAAAACCATAAACCTAAAACGGGTTCTTTCAAATCATTATGTTTCTATCGCACTTTCAAAATATTATTTTTCAACCGGTACGTGTAATGCTGAAAAATGATTTCAGGTTAGTAAAATCATTAGGTATCTGGCAAAATTAGAGATATCTCTTCTCACATATGCACGACATAGATCTTGATAAATATTCTCTTTTTCTCTTTGGCTGTGTGAAGGAAGAGGAATGGTAAGTGCAGCGTTGTTTTCATTCACCATTTTATTCTTTTAACACTTTTTTAAACCCAAACAGTGGCGAAATTGATAAAACAAGCTATAAATGTCGTTCCGGTCTGACTAGTTTACGATTCATATGAGTCTTGGACTGCGGGTTACTGTCCTCACTTGTCAATCAGTTTAGCAAAATTAGTTACCACAGAAAATCTGAAATAATCTGAATTCTAGCTGCATTATTTAGTTGTCAATGGTCATTTTTAACTTTTGCAGAAGAGATACAACATTGCACTGCAGAATACAGAAATTATGATTGTTCAAATGGAATATATATCAGAATACATAAATATGTGTGCTCTTTCTTATTGTCGTATCTAAGCACATTCATATCCTTCTTTCTGTGTCGTGTCTATGCATATCTCTCGTTTGTTTGATCATTTTAAACAAAATAACAGACATTTGAACACGCATAATACCTATTTCAAGTATAAAATAGGTTCGCACGTACATTGGCAAGATAAGCGCAGCAAAGACTGACAGCTTGCCATAAATTATGTTGATGATGGAAAACATCAAGAATTGCTTCAAAAACTTTCATTTCGCGCGTCAGGTGTTCAACAAATATTCTTTTAGCTGACAGATGATAGTTAAATAAATCTTTTGCTGATTGAGGAAGTGCTCTAAGTTCGTTTCTTCTAATTGGTGTGAGTAAATAGTCACCATTAGTAAATGCCTTATCAGCAAGTATTTTTGTATGAGGAGGAATTGTACAGTTTTGATTGGGACCGATACCACACGTGGATAGCATTTTACTATCGTGAACAGAACCCAAAAATCCTGATTTAAAGTATATAAGGCGACGATCAGTTGATATAACATATATAGAGGCAAGACAGTGTGTTTTGGTTTTTCCGGAATAGAAAACAAGTTGAAATCTCTCTGAAAGAAGAGAAAAGAGACCGTCANCAGCAAGTATTTTTGTATGAGGAGGAATTGTACAGTTTTGATTGGGACCGATACCACACGTGGATAGCATTTTACTATCGTGAACAGAACCCAAAAATCCTGATTTAAAGTATATAAGGCGACGATCAGTTGATATAACATATATAGAGGCAAGACAGTGTGTTTTGGTTTTTCCGGAATAGAAAACAAGTTGAAATCTCTCTGAAAGAAGAGAAAAGAGACCGTCAATAAACTATTTTCCTTGTTGAATCTTGTTGGAAAAGTTATCAGATCGGTACATTTCTTGGAAGAGGTAAACGAACATCAACTGCAACTTCTAGTTACGCCGAGATGGTGGCCTGATCAGTCTACCAGTTCTTGCGGCGGCAGGTTATGGCATTTATAAATTTATTGGCAGTCTGTTTTCATCATCGAGCACGGATTTGAATTAGCGGTTGATTTGAGTTGAAAGCGGTCAGAGAATTGTTCATCAGATACTTGAAAACTATAATTCAGTTGTAGCTTTCTTGACGAGCAATCAAGTAAAAATTATAAGTCAAATTAGTTCTAAAGTTGATAATGTTGACAAAGCGCGTAGTGTTTTGTATGATACAATCAAACATACGGAATCTGTTCAGTCCAAGGCAAATACAAATGCAATGTCTCAACTGTACACAGAGATCAACCGACACTTTTCGGCAGTTTCGACCAGTCTCGATGAAATTAGAAACAATAAACTGAATCTCAAGTTCTTGCCTCAAGAACAGCAAACAACGGTTATTCATTCGGTTTTTGATCAAATAAAACATTACTTACCGACTAAATTTTTTTATCCATTATACGGACTCGTTCACCGTCTTTTTATTCGTCAGTTTGTTAGTTTCATCCCGATCAACAGTACGTCGTTCAACTACACGATCAAAACTGAAAATTCTAAAAAGCTACTTGATAGTCGTCGATCGCAATCACCGTCACTCCAACATGGCGTTATATTACCCGAAATAGTTGGCTTACTACAGATTCAATCCGTTTTCGGTATAGCAAGTGCTCCAAACGCAAAGTTATTCAAGTTGACACTACTCACATTATTTTCTAGCAAAGTCGAAGGTTATTCTATAGAAGAAGATCAAGAGAGATCCGAAGGTGGTAATGTATGTAAAGATATTCCCACGTTTGTGTTAGAATCGAATTATCAAAATTCGTTTCCAATAATAAATACTTTACCCATTTTGAACCCAATATTTCACTGGACAGCTTCATTAACGTTCTAAATTCATCATTTATTTCTCGCCATGCTTACACCACACACTGGGCATCCAGGCGGACATTAGGCGAAAAATGGAACTATCTCCTTTTTCAAATGTAAATAGTGGAAAACGTAGCTCATCGAAAGGGCTATCGAATGATGTATAAATGTTTATTTTGATATCGGCTCCTTCGGGGAGAAACTTAGGGTACAGACACTACATAGCGTACATAGCAAGAAACGACACATATACACAAAAACGTGGTTCTCTGCTCACTCAGCTATGTCAAACGATTTGAAAGCACATATTCGAAATCAGCATGTCTTCAGTTATTTTCCGATGACAAAATGTTTATACTTCGTACCCATATTCAAGAAGTAACGGCGACATGATTTCTCCATACGTCAGTCTTCAGTGACAGTGCTTCAGCATAGTAGAGTGACCACCTTCGAAAATAATATTCAAATACAGCAAAATGCTCCTTAGACAATGCTACAACTGTA